AAAGAAAATCTTCAACAGTTTCTCTTGAAGATGACCATTAAGAAAAAGAGAGAACAGAAAATCTCGAAAAGTATTATTTTCTGAGAACCCTGCAGAACGACGTAATTAGGTGGGAGTTTAGCGACGTTTCGGAGAAACCTTGTACCTCCTTCTTTAAGGTCTAAAAATAAACCTAGCAAAATAACAAGGGAACACAGCCATTGCCGACAGAATCTCAGATCTCACAATTAAGCCTTGATTGAGTTTAGACTGCTCTGACATAAAATTAGTTTAGTGGCACTACGAGTTTGGAGCACTTATAAACTCTTCTGCCGAAAGCATCTTGATATGCGTTGGGTTCTTCTATGTAGCAATGCAATGTGTGAGACTGCGCATGTGCGCGACCGCGCGCGCTTTTATAATTTTATTTCGAAATAATCTATTCTCAAGAGGTCTGATCGCAACGCCATTAGCTTTAGAACCCACTGTTTCGCATATCGAAGTCGCTCGAAAAATATTTAAAAAGAAGCACGAATCGAGTGACTGGACTCCGTCAGTTCCGAGACTGAAACGGCTACTGCAGAGCCTACTCGCATTTACGTAACTTTCGGGTCAAAACAACTACCGTCACTGAAGGCTTTATAAGTTGCAGGAGTATCAAGGGCAGAAGCCTCTCCCCTAACACCAATCTCACTTTAACATGATGTCACGTTTTTGTCTTTACAAGAAAGCTAGCAAGGCAAAATCATTCTGTCTGTAGAAGAGGAAATGCTAGTACTTAACCATAGTGTTACAGGCAATGAAGTCTAATATGCTAGAACAGCACTACAGAGAAGAATGAGGGGTAACATTAAATGAAGTTTAAATTTTAATTCTATTCATATCAATACCCGTGAAAAACGCGACCAAATTATCGTGTAAAAAAGATAAAATTTTCCCTGTGATTAACTATTTAAGCAATCCGCTTAATGGGGGAGTGAATGTAGAGATCCGAGTGTTATTGACCTCGTCACTAGTTAAAGATGACTGATCAGATTCACGCCCCGGCCGCTTTAACATTGGGGAAATATTTCCGGTGCCCATTGGATAGGAGGCTGGATAGGCCCCAGAACCGGTCTGCACTACATGGAGAACAAAAAAATTCTGTCCCTCCAGGACTCGAACTACGATCCCTCGGCCGTCCAGCCTGTCACTATATCGACTGCGCTATCGTCGTATTATGAACATAATTCGCAGTGGAAGAAATTTCGCTAATTAGTTACACAACATTCAGTCATGGCGATGTAGCTATCACCTGTATTGTGTTATAAAATGGCACTCCCTGTTTACTCTCTCTCTCTTTCTCTCTAAGGCTCCACAGCCCTTTGGACCTCGGCCGCTTTTTGAGTTTCTAAATTTATGCACAGTCGGTAGGACTCCTTGGACGGGGGATCAGCCCGTTACAAGACCGCTACCTACACACAGAACAACATAAACAGAATAAACGCACACAGACACCCATACCTCAAGTGGGATTCGAGCCGACGATCCCAATGTTCGAGGGTGCGAAGACGGGTCATGCCTTCGACCGCGCTGCCAATGTGACTGGCTCTGGCTGTTTATGTTGGTGAAACCATTAAATATGATGTGGAGGATTACAGAAAGGTACATTTGATAAAGATCAAATATCTACGTTCATTTTTAAGTATCTGCTGTGAGAATAACCAGCGCAGGTGAAAGATTACAAACTCCACAGTCTCTCATGTCGTAATTTACCTCTCGGAAGCTCGGCGTTTTCCATTCTCTGTGACGTCGGAGTGGAAGATCTCGGATGGTTCACTGGGGGAGAAGGCTGGGTCCAGGACGACATGTTCATGGTGCCGCAGATACTGCTGCGGTGACTGAAACAGGCACAGACATCCAGCATTACACATTTTAGTATGTCTCTCGTAATTCATGCTCCTTCATTCCAAAAGCATGGGCAGTTTTTAGAATGAAATTTTTCTAATGTGATTTCTGTGTATTTCTCGTTTTAACTTATAATTTTCATATCCTTTGATAATTTCTAAACGAACTTCAGACCTTCTAAAATATGCCAGGCTTGATGTTGTTACGGGGGTAACTATGAAGACCACTGCTTCTGGGACGTGACGTCATGTAGTCTTTGTAGAACGGAAGTGTGAAATGGGTCTCAGTCCCTGTCCCACCCACGTAACCACTCCACTTGCTTTACTCTGGCTCCCAGCCCAGGCGTCAACCTGCCTGCATTCCTCCCACTTTTGCTTCTACCCTGGAGATGGAGTCAGCGTGTCCCACCGAAACGCCGGTAAACATCTATCATACTTCACAGTGGTACATTCAAGATGGCAGTAATCTCCTTTCTACGCACCACAACTTCACTCACTCAGTCACTCAGTCATGGAGCTGAGCCCTTGTTGTGAAGCATCCAGTCGCTCAGCTACTCAAGAACTTCCCAGCATTTTATGGATCCAGCAGGCTGACTACCGTGTTCATAAGAGCCCTCCACTAGTCCATATCCTGAACCAATCAATTCAGTCCATAATACCCCATCTGTCTCTCTAAGATCCATTGAAATATTATCCCCACTTACGTCTTGGTGTTCCTAGTGGTCTCTTTCGATCTGGCTTCACCACCAATATCCTACATGCCTTCCTCTTCGCACCCATTCGTGCTACATACCCTGACCATCTCAACCACCTTAACTTCATCGTTCTAACTATTCTTGCTACAACAACTTCTGAATCTAAAATTCTATGCAATGTAAATTCAGCGAAATTCATAGCAAGTTGAAATTCCAGGGTTAAAGCCATGGTTCATTTTGAGATTAGGAAGAACAAGGAGGTGCGTCTATTCTTTCGTCCGAATGTTTAATTCCTGAAATGACTTGATGTACTTCGACAAGACTTAGAAATTCAAATTTGTTATTTTGCTGAAGCTCAAATCTAATTTTGTTAATTATCTCAGAAACGACGTAAAAAGCACCAGGAATAATAGGCGAATTTGATTTGAATTGAAGAACACCATCTTCAGGGATCTAATGCCTTATATTCTGGTAAGAGTTTAATGATGTTCCGCAAAAAGTATTGCTTCTATTTTCAGGGACGAAGGGCAAGCCGATGATGTAAACAAGCACTAAACATGGTGCTCAGTTTACCACTTGACCCTGAAGACGGAGGCAGCACGTTTTTCCGAAACATCCGTGAACTTTTACCAAAGTACTCTGGGTCACGTCACAAAAGACAGCCTTCTAATCTCACTGTATTTGAAAAGCTGTTCCATCGAAGTTCAGAGGGAAAACACCCGAAGTTGTGCCTTTATGTTCGTTTGCTGCAGGTAACATTGAGAGCCTATGACGAATGCCGTCTTCTGGAATCTGTTGCTGTATAGATCTTGTGAGAACCGACGTTTCGTAGGAACATATCGCCTCCATCTTCAGGGCAGAAAAATCCGCGAGCAAGGAACCAGCTTGATCAGGTGGCAGGTGACAATATCTTACCTGATTTAGTAAGTATATGTCGATCCTGGAAGTTGTTATTCTCCGTGAGATCATATTATTGCCGGTGTCCACACCAGCAACTGAGCTGTACGGCAGAGTAAGGCACCCACAGGCGATATATCAATATCCTCATGTCCCAGTCTAAAGCAGGGCCTGATCTAGGACAGTCTTCAGGCAAGTTGGGACACATCTGTACAAATGTAGCTCAGATATTCCACGTAGAGCAGTTTATCATGTACGGTGTACTTGCTCTTGGGCACTGTGATATTATTAAGTTACATTTATTTATATGTTATTCTTCCACGGACAGAAAGTAGAATTCCGATCAAATTTTTCGTGAAACTTTGTCAGGGTTAGAATAGGTACACAGAATTTATAATGTGTTGACCTTTCCTCCGAACCGTATAAAACACGGTCTAACTTTGTGCTGATAGTTAGAAACGTGTTTCTCTTGCTTGTCATTCTTTAATAATAAAAATAATAAACATTAGAAATGTTCTTCTTTGATAAAGATAACATTTGGCTTTGAAAGTAATTCGGTGAAGGTATTGCCAGATGGCAGATTCGTTTCGGATGGAATATCGGAAAAAATAAAAATTTCCAATTCAGAAGTAACAAACCAAAACGTCCAAATGTTTTCTCCCTCCTTTCTATTTTACTTTCTTACTACCGCCCCTTCTAGAAGCGGCTTACATTTTCTCTTTTAGTTTCTTCTTTTAGTAGTCATTCCTCTCCTTAAGACCGTATTTGTACTCCACTTAATCAATACTCCAGACCTTACACTGGGATTACAAATTAATATGCACTGAGGTAAATTGAATACACAGTCTGCTTCGAAGAAAACACCTTCTGCACGACAATTAAAAGACGCGCAAACCAACGCAAAGCTATCGGCGTTTCAAACACTGCTCTATTCAGATGCATAGGAGGCATCACGCAATGGCCAGCGCTTTCTAAACCTCGGCGTTTCACTTCCTCGCGCAAACGGAGGGGAGGTCGAGTAATCCGGTCCTCGAGGACTGCTGGGCGTAGAAGCATAGCTTTTCTGGAAATCGAAGGCGTCGTCCAGCCACCGGCCGGTTAGTTTCCTGACTGGGGCAAATAAAAACGGAGATGAAAATTTTAGTAGAGAATTTTACTGCAATAAAAATATTGTGACGTGCCGCCAGGAAGGCTGGACGATAAGACGTTCATCACTGGTCATCGGCTAGCAATTCCAGGGCAGCGTTGCCTAGGACATCTTTGCCTCGGGGATGAAAGTCTAACGGTGGGGTTTCCGCTGTTGTTTGTAACGAATTGTTTGGGGCAGTAAAAATGTATTCCCGCTGCAACAAGAGATTTGTTGCATAACAGCGGGCGAAACGAAACCCTTCGACAAGGTGTTCCCTATTCAGCCCGAGTGCAGGATATAACAGCCCAACTTCGGCAAGAGCCCAGTTTTTTTTTTTGCTAGTGGGGTTGGACTAAGTCCCTTGTACTGCGGCCACTTCTGGCCTATTGTACCAGCCCCAGATGATAGATGAGGGTGATTGTGGAGCAATTGGTGGAATGAAGATTGGGAGGGGAAACCGAAGTACTCGGAGAAAACCCGCCCCAGCGCCACTTTATCCACCACATTCCGACTTGACCAGATCCGGGATCGAACCCGGGCCGCCGCGGTGGGAAGCCAGCGACTATCCGCTTGAGCTATGGTGCGGCCTTTCTTTGCCTATAATCCCTTAGGAAAACTTGTCTTCCTTAACACAGATGTCCACTGTTCTCTTTCAATTGCATTTCGCTTACGTCTCTTCACTTTCAGTTTATGTGAACCGTTCTCTGCATTTCCGAGCCACCTCAACCTGGGCCTACCCACTTTTCTGTGCTTCTGTGTTACTCTCAAACATTTTCTTAACCAACCTTGCTTGATGCATCCTAACCGCATGCTCCAACCACATTCTCACTCCAGTGCTACTGAATTGCCAGGTTGTTGCACGGCACGAATATATACCAACTGTAGAGGGTGTTTGCTGCACCAGGAAGTGAGAAAGGTCAGTTGACAATCCTTAATCTGATAGGAAGTGTGAGCACAGAGACATGGGCCCGTTTTAGGGCGCAAATTCGAAGTCTGTGGAAATAGCTGACGGAAAAAAAAAACGAAAATTCTTGGTCAGTAAAGCGATCTCTGCCTGGGTGTCAAACCAACGTCTCCCAACTGCCATTCGCACATGCGCCACATGGCCGAACGCCATAGCATGGAATTGTAGCGTCCTGTTGCTGCTCCGGTTGCGGCCAGCACAGTTTGCGAATATTATGCAGGGACTTCTCCACTTTCTGAGGCAAACTTGACACACACAACTTTTAGGGAACTGAATAATGTCCCTCATCAGGTGTAATGGAGTGGCGTGATGGCCTAGTGTGCAGATGGATCCGGGTTAGATCCGGGTATATCGGATATACCTTACGAAAAGGACGGTGTTCAGCCTAATGTTCTCACGACGAGAGAGCTACTATCACGAGCCTAAAGGAAAACCTTTGGATAGTTATACTTCACAGATGTTCGTAGTTACTCATGGATTATAGCCTTATATAGCTTCTTGGTGTACTCAAAAGTTGTACTGACATTCTGACAGCCACCTCCCCGCTAAGGTCCAAATATGATAATATCACGAGTCCCACACGGGCCTCGTCAGCAAGACTGAATGTCTGACAGCGAGTTGCATTATTTTTTTTAAATATTTTTAGTGGGGTGAGACCGAGTTCACTTGGTACCGCAGCCATTACTGGCCTCTTGTACCAGCCCCGGATGATAGGTGAGGGTGACTGTGGAGCAATTGGTGGAATGAAGATTGGCAGGGGAAACCGAAGTACTCGGAGAAAACCTGAACCAGCGCCACTATGTCCATCACAAATCCTACATGATCTGACCCGGCCTCGAACCCGGGCCGTCGCGGCGGGAAGCCAACGACTAACCTCTGCGAGTCAGTTGTCACATGACCGTGACTCTCACTGTTGCACGGTGATCTATATCAGCTTTTTCTAATGGGCCCAGCTGAATAGGATCCTTTCCTCCCTTACACCTGAAGACAGAAACATACCAGTTTGTGTAAAGTTATGTATATATCAAGCGCGCCTCAGACAATGTAAACATAACAGGAATTGTCCCACAGGATCCAAATTACCGGCGCTGCAACTGTCACGTATGCCCTTGTTGCGCGGTCAGCAGTCTGCCTGCGCTCCTGTCGCTGGCCGCCACTGTCCTAACTTTCGCATGACGGATCACAAAAGCACGGTAACTCTGATTCCGATACGATAAATCGTCAGTCCACCTCATAAATAAGCAACTGCACGGAACAGAGTTTACTTTGAGGAGTTCATAGTGGAGCAGCTAGTCTAAGAATTGAGACT